CTCAGTGCATCAAACCAGGTCACGTGATATCATTATGTGTTATTACTAGCGATGTTAGGGTGATCTCTGCCAGGCTCTTCACTGTGAAGTTACTATTTTTCCCTTTGCAATTTGTAAATATATTGGGGGAGATACTTTGGGGCTACATAAATATCACAGATCAGAGGAGACCTAAGGCGACATGACAAATGAACAGTGGGATCCTGGAGTAGATCCTGAAACAGAAAAAGGGTATTAGCAGAAAACTGATGAAATTCAATAAGGTCTATAACTTAGTTAATATACTGTGCTGATATTAATTTTCTGGTTTTCATAAGGACATTAGATTATGTAAGATGTCAGCATTAGGGAAAGTAGGTGAAGAGAGTAGAGAAGCTCTCTAAACAATTTTTGCAACTATAAGTCTAAAACTACTTCAAAATTAAATTTACAAAAGCTGCAAATTCTGAATCCACATGTCTGGACAGGGCCTGAATCTGCAATTCTCTGAAATGCCCTGTGATGATGGTGCTGCTGGCCCATGGACTACTTCGCTAGACAAGGCCTGGGCAAACACAGCTGATGCATTTCCCAGGGCACAATTTTCAAAGGACAACTAAAAGGCATCAAGATTACACTTCAAATACAGTAATCACTCCTTAACTAGATAGAGGCAGTCCTTACATTTTGGCACACTGAAATGTTCTTTTAGCACCATGATACAGTGAGAAGCCAACTTGAAGAATCTGAAATCACAATCTTTGCTACAAGACCCATCTATGGTGGGCCCTCCCCAATGGGGCCTGGCACCCCCTCCAATGCTGCAGAGCCAGGAGACCCTCCACAAGGTATGCACACCATCCACCCACACTTGCAATGTGGAAGCAGCCATGGGGATGATAACTGGCCCCAAGCCCACTGATGGTGGACGTCATCACCTAGGCCACTCAGGGGCATGAGAGAGCAGCACAGTGGTGGCAGCACAGGTTCTGGAATTCCCGCTCACAGTAAGGGACTGGTCAGTACACATGGGACCTCTGCTTATCCCATTAAAATGATTTTTAACATTGTGTAATAAACCCATAAGAAAGAAAATAAGATGGCAGATGAGAGCTTGCAAATTTCTGGCAGGTCAAGAGAATCTAACGTGGGCAAAGGAAATAGCAGTGTGAAGCACATAAGAGTGGGCACAGCCAGAGGAGGGCTCCAAGCCTGCAGCACACCAAGACCCAAATGCAGGGCCCTCAGCAAGAGACCGAGGGCTGTGTCTGCACACAGAAGACAGTCCTGGCACACAAGAGCTATATGAGGCGACTCCTAGACCAAGTGGTGCAGCCACTAACTTAAGGGTCCTTCCTTAAGCGGGATGGCCCAGCGAAGACCTGCCATCTGACATTCCAGTTCCAAGCATACTAACAAGTTCCCAACCACCCACAGGGAGACCTACACATTTCCAAAGCCAGCCCTCAGACTCAGATTTATCAGCTTCCTCTTGCTTTAGACAACAATTACCAATAATTAAGGAGTACTCGCCATACAAAGCAAAAAGCCAGTATTTTTTAAAAGTACAACTGTGATACTAGATGAAACAAGAAATCAGAGAACAAAAAAAGAACTGAAAAAAAAATCCCCATTAGTACCCTCAGTATCAAGGAGATGATGCATAAAAACAATAAGCTACTGGCCCTGGCTGGTGCAGCTCAGTGGACTGAGCACCAGCCTCCTAACCAAAGGGTCCCCTGTTTGATTCCCAGTCAGGGCACATGCCTGGGCTGTGAGCCAGGTCATTGATGTTTCACTCCCTCTCTTCCCCTCTCTCTAAAAACAAATATATAAAATCTTAAAAAACAAAACAAAACAATAAGCTACTATGAAAAAGGACACAACAAATATACTCTTGGAAATTAAAATTTCAATAATGGCAACAAATTAAAAATAGAACTGGAATAAAAACTGAAGCCTTCTCCCAGAAATAAGGATAAAATAACACAGGAAGAAGATAAAGACAAAAGATTCAGAGGGTCAAGATATCCATCATCAAACTAACAGGAACTTGGAAAAGTGAACAGTAAAAGAGCAGAAGAAATTCTCAAATAAAAGATACAAAAGACTTTCTCAGAGCAGAAGGACAAGCCCCCAGGATCAAAGAGCACATCCTTGGTCACTCTGGGAATGCCCTAAAACCAAACAGGATCCTTAAAACTTACCCAAAAGAAATAAGGCAACTTGCCTAAAGGTTCTCACTGAAATGAAGAAAGCCAAGATTAAAACACGGAGTCCTGCCCTGGCTGGTATAGCTCAGTGGATTGAGCACAGGCCTGCGAACCAGAGGATCACGGTTCGATTCCCAGTCAGGGCACATGCCTGGGTTGCAGGCCAGTTCCCAGCAGGGGATGCACAAGGAGCAACCATACATTGATATTTCTCTCCCTCTTTCCTTCCCTTCCCCTCTAAAGATAAATAAATAAATCTTTAAAAAAAAAAAAAAAAAAACCACGGAGTCCTGAGTAACCCCACGTGTATAACACAGGAAAGCATCAGGATGATGCCTGTGCTGGCGTGGAGTAATCAGTCCAGATCAGAAAAAGAGGACAGAGGGCTGGAGAAGTAGGGCTGGAGAGATCTGACACTTATCCTCTATCCTCGAAAATGTAAAACAATGTAAGAAGTTGATGGAAGCAGACAATGCAAAGAAAAAGAAAGGCCTTTACAAACAATAGAAAAAACAAACAGCTATATTAGAAGGAAAATGCACTACTTGGCTGGGAAGCAAGAATATTTGCAGTTATAAACAATTTCAATTCATTGAACTAGTGAATTCAGGGTGTAGAAAAGGTGGGATATGATGTGAAGAGCTAAATCATATTATCCTAACGAAGTAAAAAATGTGTACAATAATTGTTTAGAGCTATGAATAACTTCTTGAAGAAACAACAAAAAGATAATGTCTCTGAGAAGGAGGACTAAAAGGTGAGATGGGGACTGTTGCTCTCATTGTAAGTTTTTCACGACATTTCATCAAGTACATTAATTTAAAATATTAAATATGTTTAATTTTTTAAGGATACTCAAACCTTGGCTCTGTGTGTTTTAGGCAAATCACTTAACCTCCTTGAGTCTCAGCTACCTTATCCACCACACAGGGCAATTTCATTGGGTCACCCTGATGAGAAACACTGTACATGAACAGCAGTCCCAGACACAATGCATGACTCATAAACTGCGGCTGCTTTTTAAAAAAGTGAAGCCAATGATGGCAGAATGCATGACAAGAACATATTAAGTACAAAACAAAGGGGAAACAGAGCTGAATATAAAGAATTAAATTTATAGGCAGTTGCGGTGTTTTGTTTTACCACTGGGTATTGGTACCCAGAGTTGTCCTAAAAGCTGGATGATCCAATCATCTACTTCCTGATGCTGTTTTCCTCACTTGGGAAGAAAACAAGCCTGCGCTCGGCCCTTTGACTCACCCTCTCCCAGTCTCAGAAAGCAGGGGGGACAGCACCATTGAGAACCATTCAACTATCTCGTTATTTTTGTTTCCTAAACTTCCAGTTTCAACTCTACCTTTAGAAAGGACTGTCTCCTCTCATCAACTGGTTTGGTTTAGTTTAGTGCTAGTTTTACCAACCCAATCAGGCCTTTGTAGTACATTCAAAGGCATTTGGGAAGAACAAGTAACTGCAAATAGAGAGCAATCACCTGTTCCACCACCAAACTCTAAAACTGTGCCCTCCCTGGTCCGGGCAGGCAAGCCCTCTATCCCTCGAAGTCACTTCTGTTGACAGTTCTTCCGGGAATATTTACTTCCCCAATATCAAAGTAATCCCTACTGTCTCATCAGAAACAAATCAGTCCTCTATTATGGCAATGTATCCAATTTACTCATAGTGCAGGTAGAATGTACGTCTTTTTCAGCCATGGGTCACATCCCTAAAGGATTAAACCACAGAAATAGCAACAAGTATGGGGGTGGGGGGAACCCTGAAATCCTCATTCATCAAGGTCTGGATAACGGGATCAGATCCTCTCTGAAGTCTGAAGTTGTCTATTCCTAAACAGGCACTTTATGCCTCTATTTCCCTTTGTGAAACTATAAGCAAATTAAGAGGATGCTGTTTGTGTTCCTGACTCTAGGGGCTCCATCTCACACTGGTAACTCAGGATGCCAGCAGAGTCGGAAGTCGGACTGACAGGAACTACCACACTGCAGGGTCCTTTGGGTGCGTTTTCAGTTTCCCATTCCCCAAAGAAGCGAGTCCCAGCCCGCCCCCTCCTGCAACTGTAAGCCGTCAATCTGCAGGGCGGCCTTTGGGACGTCTAGGAGCAACTCTCGCAAGGCTGCTCCCCAAGTTTAAAGGCAGCTGGCAGGGTACTGGGGACGGGACCTGTCACCCGGACCGTCCTACGCGGCGCACCGCACGGGGGCGGAGGGGAGGGAGGGAGATTGCAAGTGCAAAAGAAAATTAATGACAAGAAAGCAAGAGCCTCATCTGGGAAGAAAACAAGCCTGCGCTCGGCCCTTTGACCCAGCCGCCCCAGTATCCGAATGCTGCGGGGGTACAGCGCCGTGCGCCCACGAAAGAACGCAGGGACTGGGGGGCCGCAGAACCCGGGGGGCTGGCAGAGCTGAGGGCGCACCAGGAGGGGTTGAGAGGAGCAGTGGGGGTTAAGGTGGTGCCGGCAGGACTACGGGGAGCGGTGGTGCCCGGGGACGCCGAGACCGTTGGGGCGTCCGGGAGGCTGACAAGGCTGAGAGGAACGGCGAGGGGAGAAAGAGTGCCCGCAGATAAAGGGGGAGAAGGGCGACGGGGCCCGGGGGCGCTGAAGGGGCAACCGGACGGAGGCAGCGGGCCGTTGGCGGGCCAAGCAGGGAGTCCCAGGTAGGGGGTGACGGGCGCGGGAGCCGCGGCCGGAGGAGGGCGAAGGGAGGAGGGAAGAGGGGAGATCTCGCTCTCGCTCTCGCCCCGCGGGAAGGGGGAGGTGGAGACGCGACCGGCTGCGGGAGCTGCAATTACCGTGTGGGCTGCGGAATTCTCGTGGTGTTTGTCGGGGAGCTGCGATAATGGCGCCCGTCCTCGCGAGAGAAGCAGTCGATCTGCGCAGGCGCTACAAGTCGCTTCCCGCGGCCCTCCGCCCCAGACAGTCTGCGCAAGTTCCCCGGACTGTGCCACTAGAACCGGGGCGGAGCCTACAGCCCTAGGCCTTTAGCTTGCGCTCTCGCCCGCGCCGGTGACACCGGAGCATGCGCAAGCGCCCCGCTCCCGCGCCACGGTTTGGAGACCCGAAGAGTTCTTACTTAGGGTGCGCCCGGATTTCTCGGTAGCCGGTGATAAGTCGCGTCGGTGGGCTGTTGGAGGAATTTGCATTTTCTTTGAGATTGAATGAATAGGAATTAGTCTCCTAACGACTACACATCCCGGAGGCCCCTGCGCGAGTCGACAGCGGTGCATTGTAGGACTCGTAGTCCTGGCGTCTGCGCTGTGCCTGCCGGTACTGGTAGTCTCTTCATCCCTGGTCTCCCGGTCCGCGCCGTTGGTTGCTGGGACTTGTAGTTCATATGCTCGGAGTCTCTGCTCCCGGACCGTGCAATCGTTTCCTCTCTGACGGGATTCCCCCCCGAAATAGGTGTTGCTCAAGGGTTCCCAGTACCATAAATACAGTCTTGAGTGCACATGCGTGGTAAAAATGTACTTATTATATGTAGTATATTTTACATGTAATTAATGTGTTATATATCATATGTGCCAATGTAAATGTAAGCTATGTGAATATAAATATAGTATGAATGTGGATATAATATATTTACATAGTATAACTGCGCGTTTGTGGGTACTCGTGGAAAAAATTCCCAAATTATGGACAATTCCCAGGAATGTTATTTCTGTTCACTGGCATGATCATTGCTTTTCACGTGTGCTAGAATTACCATTGTTTTTGATTTTTCTTCTTTATACTCGCCTGTATTTTCTGAGCTGTTACACTGAGCAAGAATTCTTTTGATCATCCTAACGCAAGACGATGGAACTATTTCCATTTGGAAAAGAAAGTGCTTTACATGAGTTTCCTGCTCGTTTCCCTTTTGCCAATAATAAAAACCTGATTTAGGACAGCAAACAGCTGTGCAACGTTGGGCAACCTTGTTAAGTCTCTTCCAGAATTATCACTCAGGGTTTCGGCTGAGGCTGGTCACTAGATTCCTTTGCAGGCAAAGTGCCTTAAATAAATCCCAAAGAAGAACCACAGAAGGTCCTCTGGAAAAGCTACTGATATGGAAATGAGATAAATCCTACATAGAAATGAGAAGCCCACAGAGAATGGGAAAATTCCTCAGCAAGTTCACATGGCTGGAAAGAACCAAAAGCAGGATTTGGAATCCCAAACACCGGAGTGCACTCACACGGAGGGTGGGAGGGTTCCAAACACTAACCACAGACATCCTGAGATGGGGCCTGGGGCAAGTTCTAGACAGTCGTGCCTTCTCCCCCTCTGCCGCAGTCACAGCCAAACACAAACACTCGACCATGTAAGAATTCTGAACATGCTGCATTTGGCAGAAAAGCAGGTAAACGTAGAATTATGTTTTTCACATTATTTCAAAGTATCACAAAATCCTCACCTGCAGCTCTCTCCCAGGTATGGGTTTGCCTGCTCCTTCCTGTCCAGGCCTTGCATACTGCTTGGCTCCAAGACACTGATGACTAAGTCATGGTCAGAAATTAAATCAATCAAAATTGTAATTGTGCTGTGTTGGAGTCATTGACTTCTCTTTTTTTTTTTTTTTCAGTGTTTCTGATTTATTTATTTTTCATTTTGCTGCCCAGGAAGCTCAAATAGAGGAAGGTGTCAATATTCATATCCAGCTGGTTAAAAAAATTTAGGTAGTTTGAAATTGACAAAAACAGCTGTCTACCACTCCATGACCACAGAGGACCTTTCTCCCTGCCAATCAGTTTATATAAGAATCCAGTGGAAGTTCCTGAAGTTAATTAGGCTGAAGTCATGTTTGTGGGGACTTTATAGGAAGAAAGGGAGGTGCACTCTGGCCCAAATGGCACCAGAAATTGGGGACTACTTAGATGTACATGCACTGGGCATTTGCAAAAATCTCAAAGACACTTTCCTCAATACCAGGTAATGCCCACCTTAGCACAACCTGGAATCCTTCAGAATGGTTCTATTCCTGTTGATGTCACTAGGGTAGAGAAAAGTGACTTATTCATGAAGCCCTTAGTTGCCAAAGAAAATTTCCCTGGAAAACTGAGCACACTTATTTATAGGAGCAGGCCTGACCTGGGCTTTGTATTCAAGCTCTTCTATGGTGAGGGGCTGAGGCTTCACACTCACAGCTCATGAGGATCTGGGGAGGAATCAATGAAGCAGAGTTTGTAAAGGGTTTAGCAGAGTATCTGACTCAGGAAATTAGATATTACCATGTGCTAAGTTACTATGCCTTGAGCCACACATGTCTTATTTTAATCCCTCTTCTTTGTGAAGAACAAAAGTTCAAAGAGATTAAGTAACACACCCCAGCTCACACAGCTATTGCAGGGCTAGAACTTCAAGGAGCAAGGTTGTGAGATGTGGCAGCAGAGGTAGTTAGGCCATGTACTTGAGCCCTGAGTGGCTGTGCCACTTGCCACTTTCTAGTTAGGGAGCACTTAGACCATGCATGTCATGTTAGTATACTTTGGAATACAGAGAAAAAAATAACTAGCTTAGTAAAAGGAACTTACAGGCCCTGGCAGGGTAGTTCAGTTGGTTAGAGCATCATCCCAATATGCCAAGGTTGTGGGTTCTATTCTTTGTCAAGGAACATACAAGAATCAACCAACAGATGCATAAATAAGTGGAACAACAAATCAATGTTTCTCTCTTTCCCTCACTCTCTCTAAAATCAATAAATAAAAATTAGATAAATGAATAAAAGGAACTTAAGGATTTACATAAAAGTTTGGAGGTGGTCTTGCATATCCTGGAGCTTACAAGCACACCAGGGAACAGACAGCCAGGTCACTGGTGGAAAGAGAGCATGTGCCTGCAGTTCTGATTTTATTGAGGTCCAGGGTCGGGGCTCAGGCTTCATGGACTCACTCTTTACTGCTGAATTTAAAAATATAAGAGCAAGAGCTGTAGCCAGGTGGCTCAGTTGGTTGGAGCACCAGTTCATATACCAAAAGTGTGTGGGTTTGATCCCATTGGGGGCATGTATAGGAGGCAACCAATCAATGTTTTTCTCTCTCTTAAGTCAATAGAAAAAAAACATATCCTTGGCTGAGGAATAAAATTAATTAACTAATTAAAATACAAGTACAAGAATGTAAAGAGTGGGAGGAGAAGAAAACAAGTGAGCCAACACAGTCCGTTATTAAATCAACCAAGGTCTCTAAACAAAGGTGTTTCAGTGTGGGAAGTGACCTGGCCGTTTAGCTAGTGTGTGGCTAATACTGCATTAAATGGAAATAGCCAGCTTTGAAGTGGCAATCAAAGCTTAACTGAGACACTTTGATTATGAAAAGTCCAACTTTGGGTTGGTCAAGATGGCAGCATAGGCAGACATGGCTTGTCTCTTTGCACAACCACACCAAAATTACAACTAAAATGTAGAACAACCATCACTTAGAACCATCAGAAATCAAGTTGAACAGGCGTTTAACGACTACAGAATTGAAGAAACCACATCCATTCAGCCTGGTAAGAGGAAAGAAGCAGAAGGTCCTCCCCACCAGCCCAGCTCTCTCATCCATGTGTGGCAGATAAAAATTTGGTAGGGAGCTCTGGCTGGTGGGGCTCAGTGGATTGAGTACTGTGCTGCAAACCAAAAGGTCACCGGTTCGATACCCAGTCAGGGTACATGCCTGAGTTGTGGGCCAGGTTCCCAGTAAGGGGTGCATGTGAGACAACCACATATTGATGTTTCTCTCCCTCTCTTTATCCTTCCTTTCCCCTCTCTCTAAAAATAAATACAATCTTTTAAACATAAAATACATTTTAAAAAATTCGGGATGGATATCTCAGGAACAAGGAGTTTCAGCCCCTCAAAAGGCCCCCCAGCCCAGGGTTCCAGTCCCAGGAAGATAAGTTCCCACAATTTCGGGCTGCAAAAACCAGGGGGATTGAGTCAGTGGAGGAGCCCCAAGAAATTCCTCTAAAAGAACCCATACATGGATTTACTCAGACTCAACCCCTCTGAGCTCCAGCACTGGGGTAGCAGCTTGAAACGTACCAGTGGCATACAGGGAAAAACTGAAGTATGTGACATCAAGGCAAGGCCATTGTCCCTTTTCTAAACCTTCTCCCCACAGAGCTGGCAAGCTGGTGCCATAGCTGAGATTTCATCAACCTGACTAACATGGTTTGACCCACCTTAGAGATCCCCAGAGACTCTGCCCCACCCAACTTATAGGCCCACTCAAGCTGCCCACTCAATGCCACTTCCTAAATCCTATCAAACAAGCAACAGCTGGCCTCAGTGAGCCTCAGGCCTGCACTAGCAGCAGCCGGCCTAGATTCACAGCTTGGTTTTGCCTAGGAGTCTCCAAGCCCAGCACAAGTAGCAGCCATCTTAAATTGCTTTATAGTTCATGCAGGGTGGCCCCAGACAAAACATAGGTGGGGGTTGACCTTGGCCTGCACCACCTGGGAAACCCCAGGGCCAGCACACCCAGTGGACAACTATAGACCACAGTGGAGCACCACCATCCTGCCCCTGCACAGCTGATCCTTCATACGGGGTGGAGGTTTGTGGTCACTGGTCACTGCCAACATCTGACTGGCTTGAGTAAATCCCTCCCATTGATTTGCCAACAGCAACCAAGGCTCAACTACAAGAGAAGGCTGTACTCAGCCCACACATGAAGGGCACACCTTGAGTACCCAGCTTGGGTGATGGGGAGGCTATGCCACTGAACCCTACAGGACTCCTACTACATTAGGCCACACCACCAAAACATGGAGTCAAAGCAGTTCTACCTAATACATAGAAATAAACCCAGGAAAGCTGCCAAAATGAGGAGACAAAGAAATGCGGCCCAAATGTAAGAACAGATCAAAACTTCAGAAAAAGAACTAAACAAAATGGAGATAAGAAATCCATCAGATGCAAAGTTCAAAACACTGATTATAAGGATTCTTGAGGACCTCAACAGCATAACAAAGACCCAGTCAGAAACAAAGGACACACTAATTGAAATAAAGAACAATTTACAGGGAAACAACAGTAGAGTGGATGAAGCTGAGCATCAAATCAATTATTTAGAACAAAAGAAACACAAAAACAACCAAAAAGAACAACAAGAAGCAAAAACAATCACAAAAAATGAGGAAAGTATAAGCAGCCTCTGGGACAACTTCAAAAGGTCCAACATTTGCATCATACGGATGCCAGAAGGAAGAGAAAGAGCAAGAACTTGGAAATCTATCTGCAAAAATAATGAAAGAAAACTTCCCTAACTTGATGAAATAAATAGACATGCAAGTCCAGGAAGCACAGAGTCCCAAACAAGATGAAGGCAAAGAGGTTCACTCCAAGACACACCATAATTAAAATGCCAAAGGTTAAAGATAAAAAGAGAATTTTAAAAGCAGAAAGAGAAAAGAAGTTACTTATCTACAGAGGAGCTTTCATAAGACTGTCAGCTGATTTCTCAAAGGAAACTTTGCAGACCAGAAGGGACTGGCAAGAACTATTCAAAGTCATGAAAAGCAGGGACCTACAGCCAAGGTTGTTCTACCCAGAAAAGCTATCATTTAGAATTGAAGGGCAGATAAAGAGTTTCCCAGACAAGAAAAAACTAAAGGAATTCATCATCACCAAACCATTATTATGTGAAATGTTAAAGGAACTTATTTAAGAAAAAGATCAAAACTATGAACAATAAAATGGCAAAAAATACATATCTATCAACAACTGATTCTAAAAAACAAACTAAGCAAACAAGAAGAACAGAGACAGAATCATGGATGCAGAGAGCATTTTGAGGGTTACCAGATGGGAGGGTGCTTTGGGGAAATGGGTGAAGAGGTGGAGGATTAAGAAGTACAGATAGGTAGGTACAGAATAGCCATGGGGATGTAAAGTACTGCATAGGAAATGGAGAAGCCAGAGAACTTACATGCATGACTCGTAGACACAAACAATGGTGGGGGTGTTGCCTGAGGGAGTGGGCAGTGCTGGGTGGAGGGGGGCCATGGGGGAACGCTAGGACAACTGTAATATCATCATCAATAAAATATAAATACAAAAAGAAAAAGAAAAGCCAACGCTAAGGGCTCACACTACCATTCCTCAGTGTTCATGGTGACATTGGTGTAAACAAACCCACTCTGCCACCTGTAGGATGAAAGCAGAATGCACACAATTACAGTAGCAGGCTGGACCACCCCGGTTTAAGTGCTCTATGATGTTTGTATAGCAAAATTACCTAATGACCCATTTCTCAGAATGTATCCCCCAAATGAAGCTTATATAGCATGGAAATTTCCAGAAAGAGCCACAGGAAACTGCAATCAGTAGTTCACTCTGGGAAAGAGAAACTTTTACTTTTTAACTTTGAACTGCTTGTACAGGGTATGGCTTTTCTATATATGTTAATGGCAAAGATTTCAGTTTCTATTGTTAACAGTGACCGAAATGATGTATGAGTCAGCTGTGAAGGATGTGCCGGATGAGGTGGGTGATGATGTTTTCTAAGTGAAGCAGAGCCCTGCCATGTGGCTATGGAAGACAGGGAGACACCAGCCCCACTGGGATGGCCAGTGATGCGATCTACCTTAAGTAGGCAGGTGGAAGATGGCAGGGCAGCCTGGAATGGCAGAGGACATGCCCCTGAGGGGAAAGAAAGGGGACCTGCTAGTGTCAGCTGACTGGTTTGCTCATGCCAGGGCACGCCTTCACTCACCTGGGCCTGTAATGTGATGCTTGGTGTGTAGTAATAGCAGTAGTTCCATTCTAAGCACTTTACTCATATCAATTCATTAAACCCTCACAGGAATGCAATGGAGTGTCATTTCCCCACTTTACAGATAATGAAACAGAGGAAGAAGGGAATGAATGAAATGAATGAATGAATGGATGAAGCAAGCTACTCGAGGGTGAGTATATCTCTAAAGCGACACCGTGGAAAGAAAAGCACAAATATTCAAGTTGTATTTTTTTGTTGATTGCAACAAAGGCAATCAAACTTGTGGGTCCGTCAGAGAATTGGATGAAAGCTATAGACCAATTATGCAAGGAATCAATGAGATTCTTGAGTTCCTGGGAGCCCACAAGTGGACTCCAGGTTCAGAACCCCTGTTCTGTGAGGTTTTCAGATCTTAGATCCTAGGAGTCTATATTAAGTTATGATATCCAGCCCTGGTTGGTGTGGCTCAGTAGATAGAATGCCGGCCTGCAAACCAAAGGATCGCTTGTTTGGTTCCCAGTCACGGCATATGCCTGGGTTGTAGGCCAAATTCCTAGTAGGGGGCACGTGAGAGGTAACTACACTGTTTCTCTTCTCTCTTTCTCCCTCCCTTCCCCTTTCTCTAAAAATGAATAAACAAAATATTTTTTTAAGTTATGATATCCTTTGTCCCCTTGAAGTCCCCTACAGATTTAACAGCCCCCCACCAAAAAAAGTACAAACTTCTCCAACCCTGTAGTCTTCATTTCATGGGTAAAAAGTGTCTGTGGAATAAAATACTGTGAAGTCCAAAGTAAGTTCTTTTGTTGTCCGGCATGTGCAAATATTACGAGCCATATAATGAGGGGGACCATCTAAATTACTGTCCAAATGTGGGCAGTTTTGTGCATGAAAGGAGGAGCGCCACAACCTGGGGATGTCTGAGCCAACCAGGACGGAGTACCTGGGGCAGAACAAATTCGTATCAAACCCCGTCTGTTTTATGGGCAGTGGGGACTGGCTGCTTTTCCAGGAGACCTAGGCGGAGAGGTCACCTGCTCACGTGCCCCACCAACCCTGCAGCTTTGGCTGATTCCTACACTTGTGAACCTGCTGTTCCTGTTCATACACATAGCGTGGTGTTGTGCCTGGCCTGGAGCAGCCCGAGGCCGGAGAGCTGCCCATTTCAAACTAGAGGTCAAGACCAAGAGCAGGGCCTTCGGTCTCCCCAGTGTGCCCTCCCCTGGACTCACAGCAGGCCTGCCTCGCTCTCTGAACCGGCTGTTTACCAGTTCAAAGCACGGTGGCTCCAGGGACCTGGCCATGGTGAAGGCCACAAGTCACAGACACCTCTAACTAAACCGAATGTCATCCTGGAAGCTGGGGTGGGTTAAAATTTAACCATCAGGGCTCATGGTGTGCATGAGTTTTTACAAAAACAGGTGGGTCCAATCGACTCCACCGCAGTCCCGGTCAACGTGAGGGTAGCAGGAGAAATCACCCTTTTTACTGGGCTCTGCGGGGACAGACCCAAGATGCTAAGGACCCTGATGCTGGGCAGGAGCCCCCTGAAGTCCTCAGGTTTCCCCACCATGGTCAAGCAGGGGTGGGGGACTCTGCGACGCCACCTACTAAGGCCCAAGCGACCATGCTCCCAGGATTCCTGTGCACAGAAAAATAGGAGTAATGCTCGTAAGTAGAATTTCTTAGACTTCTCAATATCCCCAAATGCAATTTGATGTCTAATTTTATGGTGTGTTTCAAAATGGAAGACAGTCTGGAGCCAGAATGCTTGAGTTCAGATTACTGCTCCCTTTTCCTGTGACCTTGGGCAAATCCTCTAACCTCACACTCGCCGTGTGGTTAGAAGGACGAGGAGCTTGGAACAAGACGGGTACCCAGTGCCTCTCCCTCAAGCTATTACCATGAAACATCCGGCCCAGAAGGACCAAATGAGCCTGTTATTAGAGCTCCAAACCCCTCCGGCAGAGGACATTCTCAGCAAACATGCAATAAGTAAACCACCACCCAGCTCTGTCCAGAAACTGCCCGCATCAGCCTCATTCCGGCATCAGCATAGTTAACGCTCTGTGAACATGGACTCATCCTTTCCTCTTTTTAGGTCTCAGATTCTTCCTCTGTCACACAAAGGGCCTGAGTTGAAGGCTGATAAGTTGGCTTCTGGTGTAAACACCATATTTTGCCATTTACAATGCACAGTTTTATGCGCAAATTTTTGAGAGGAAAATAAGGGTGATCATTATACATGGGTGGTACCTGAAATACCTTGTATCTCTTCTTGTGTTTGGTAATTATTTGTTACACAAAATTCCTTGTACCAAAACATTGTCAAAAATAAATGCCAAAATTCCTTTATAATACAAAAAAACAAGTATCTAAACATAAATAAATAATTGAATTAAAAAATTAAAACAAAAGATTTTCCCTGAAAGTGTGGACCAAAAACATGGGTGCGCAATATACACGGGATCGTGCTATACACAGGAAAATGCAGAACTCCACACTCTCCAGGACTGGGTAGTCGAAAGACCGTGAGCTCCAGAACCAGTCGCTCCTGGGGTTGGGCATTAGTTACACCTGTCTGCTATGAGATCTGGGCATTGCTTCCCCTCCCCGAACCTCAGTTTCCTCATCTATAAAATGGGATGACTCGTGTATGAGGCCACATGAAAATGAGGTCACGTACGTGGAAAGCCTTGGCACACCCCAGGCTCTCCGTGAGCATTATTATCTTTGTCCAATTAATCCGTTGGTCCACACCTGTGGACAATGCTGAACTCTCTATCTTAAAATCACAGGGTGATTTCCAGAAGCATGTCAAGCTCCCCTGAGGTTCCTGTTAGACCAGAACTCAGGTCTGTGAAGGTGAGGGCAAGCAGCCTGGGGTAAGCCCAGCCCCAAGCTTTAAGATGCCTACAGTTTTCAGGAGCTACAGTAGGTCTCTGAGAGTAAGAAGCCCAAGAACGTGGCAGAGACAGAATCCAAAGGCACCAGGACTGGCATCAAACCCCCCACCCAGAAAGGACAGAAATGGAAGCCTTGCCCCAGCCCTAACCCTGGTCCTTTCAGTTGCCCCACACGCAGTGTGGGGTCCTCAGACTAGCACCCACAGCACTACTGGGGAGCTTGCTAGAATTGAGGAACCTCAGGCCCCACCCCAGACCTACCTACCAACTTCAGACCAAACAGAAGCTATGCATTCATGTGAAAAGACCCCCCGACCTGTCCGCCTCTGATCCCAGTTCCCAGAGGCAACTGCTATGAGTGGTTTTGGTGCAGCCTTCTGACACTTTCCCCATGAAGAGAGAAACCTGTCCACACACACGTGACTTCAAAAAATAAAACAGTGCTGCACTGCACACACTCATCTGCTCCCTGGTTTTCTTTCTTTACCTAACTGTTGACATCTCCACAATGCCATCTCTGCAGCCGTCCCCCTTAGTGCTTAGTACAACCAGGAGGAGCAGCAGGCCACTCAGACAGCATCCTGGCTGCTTCGTGGCTGTGTGCCCCTAGGCAAGTTTCTTAACCTCACAGAGCCTCCGTTTCCTCACCCGCAAAAGGCGAGTGATGAGACATCACACACAGCACTGCTGGAAGCATGAAATGAGGCGAGGTGTGGAGAGGCTCAGACCAGCAACTGGCACCTCCTGAGAACTCTTGGCCACCCTGTGCACGTCCCTTTGTTTAACCATTACCCTGTTGGGAGACAGTAAGTGGGGTTCAACTTGTAATTCTTAGAAAGAGCACTCTTCCCACATCTTTGCACACGTGTGCAGGACCCAGTAACAGCAACCGCGTGGAGTGCCTAGACTGGTCCGTGCAGCAGCACTCCGCCTGCTTCCGTGGGGGTCCCAGGGCACTGGTATTTCAGCGTAAGTGGGGTCCATTCTGCCCAGCAGGGAGACTGGAGCTCATTCTTCTTTACTGTTTTGTTTATTGGGATTTGGCAAAACATTTCATTTTGAGAAATAAAGTTTATTACTAAAAATGATTGAGAGTCACTGGTGGTCTGGCCCAGAGAGAAAAGTCAGAGTTATAAACGTTCAGAAATAACTCTAGGAACCGTTTCGGTTGTGTTCTCTGGCCACACTTCCATGTGTGCAGACGCTGTCTTTAACCAGCTGTGGGCATCTCTTCCAAAGCCTGTGAAGGTGACTCACGGTGATAGCTTGAGATCGGCCACAGCGGGAGTTTTCGTGGTGGTAATCGGCAAACATTCCACATCAGAGCTTCTTAATCCTCTGCTGAGCTGGTCATTAAACTTTCAGCAGCACACCGCTGCGTGCTCTCAGATGTTTAAACAGGCATTTCTTGCTCGTTTGTCTGCAGGGCTTCTTGGGTTCGGCTCTCTGCCCCCACCCTGCTGGGCTGGGGTCCAAGCTGGCAGGGGGGGGCATCAGGATCTTTTTAGCATGTCTCTCATCCCTCCCTGCACTTGTGCCAATGCTGACCCCATAGGAGGAGTGCTATGAATATTTACTGAAGGGTGGAAAAAGTGTAGAACACTTTACCTTTATCCTTTCCTATCAGAGAACAGCTTTAGTTACATGACTTACTCTGCTGACAGCAGCTTTGGACTGGAGATGCATGGCCAAGTTGAGCAAACATTGGAAACCTATTTAGGGTTTTGGGGGGGTTACATAAATTTTATTGATTATGCTATTACAGTTGTCCCATTTTTCCCCCTTCACTCCCCTCCACCCTGCATACCCTCTCCCATCCACACACCCTCCCTTCAGTTCATGTCCATGGATCATACATATAAGTTCTTTGGCTTCTCCATTTCCCATACTATTCTTACCCTCCTCCTGTCTATTTTCTACCTACTGTTTATGCTACTTATTCTCTGTATCTTTTCCCCCTCTCTCCCCGTCCCACTCCCCTGTTGCTAACCCTCCATGTGATCTCTAGTTCAGTGGTTCTGTTCCTGTTCTAGTTGTTTGCTTAGTTTGCTTTTATTTTTGTTTTAGGTATGGTTGTTAATAACTGTGAGTTTGCTATCATTTTACTGTTCATATTTTTTATCTTCTTTTTCTTAGATAAGTCCCTTTAACATTTCAGATAATAAAGGCTTGGTGATGATGAACTCCTTTAACTTGACCTTATCTGGGAAGCACTTTATCTGCCCTTCCATTCTAAATGAAAGCTTTGCTGGATAGAGCAATCTTGGATGTAGGTCTTTGGATTTCATGACTTGGAATACTTCTTTCCAGCCCCTTCTTGACTGTAAGGTCACTTTTGAGAAACCAGCTGACGGTCTGATGGGAACTCCTTTGTAGGTGACTGTCCCCTTATCTCTTGCTGCTTCTAGAATTCCCTCCTTCATTTTAGTCTTGGATAATGTAATTATGATGTGCCTTGGTGTGTTCCTTCCTGGGTCCAACTTCTTTGGGACTCTCTGAGCTTCCTGGATTTCCTGCAAGTCTATTTCCTTTGCCAGAATGGGGAAGTTCTCCTTTATTACTTTTTCAAATAAGTTTTCAGTTTCTTGCTCTTCCTCTTCTACTTCTGGCACTCCTATGATTTGGATGTTGGAATGTTTAAAGTTGTCCTGGAGCTTCCTAAGCCTTTCCTCATTTTTTTGAATTCTTGTTTCTTCATATTTTTCTGTTTGGTCATTCTTTTCCTTCCTTCTGGTCCACTCCCTTGATTTGAGTCCCAGTTTCCTTTCCATCACTATTGGTTTCCCATGCATTTCCCTTCATTTCAATTAGTTTAGCCTTCATATGTTCCTCTAATTTGTGACTAAAATCAACCGGTTCTGTGAGGATCCTGATCACCAGTGTTTTGAACTGTGCATCTGAAAGTTTGGCTCTTTCTTGGTCGCTTAGGGTTATGGGCTCTGGGGCTTTGAGTTCTCCTTGAGCCATATTTTGGTCTGTTCACGCCCATTACGTATGAGGAGAGGAGCCCTAGGGGTTCACCAGGGCAGGGCCGCCCAGGTCGCTGAGTTGTGATGCTGTATGTGGGGGCAGGGTTAGAGCGGGGCAATGGTGGTCTTCTCTGCTGCTTTCTGCCCCTGGGGCCTGCAGGATCTGTCTCAATGCTCTCTCCTTTGCTGGTTTATCTGCTTGCGAATGTGTGACTGCGGTCAGCCAGCCGCCTTGCACCCTCACTGGGTCCGCCTGTTGCAACCCCACACCTGGGATCTGCCAACTGCCGCCCAAGCGCCTGGGTCCGTCTGGCCGAGTTTTTCCACACAACCCCACTCCGCCAGTCACTGGCTCTGCCACTCTTACCGGTGTAGCTGAAGGGTTCCTTGTTGTCGGGCTTCCGTGTAGTTCAATTTTCTGTGTCTTGGCTGTGGTTTTTTTTTTTACTAAAACTTTGTTGTCTTTAAACTTGGTTGTGCGAGAAGGCACAGTGTTTCCACCTACGCCTCCATCTTGTCGGAAGTCCGGTCTCATAATATTTTAAGTAAATTTATGATTTTGTGTCGGGCCACATTCAGAGCCATCCTGGCCACACGCAGCCCACAGGTCGCAGGGTGGGCGCCCGGCGCGAGGTTGGCTGTGAGGGCTGCACTGTGTGAACGCTGCCTCCCGTCTGACCCAGTCCCGGTCTGCACGGCCCAGGGGGTTGGGGAGGGAACAGACAACGGAAGACCAGGCACTGCCCGTGAAGGTCTGGAGTAAAGCCGATGCTGCAGGGGCTGGGCGGGCATCTCTGCGGGTGGAAGTGCCTCTGCCAGGTTGTGAGGCCAGAGCAGGAGCCCTCTCGGCCGATCTTGCCAACCCGCTGTTCTCTCTGCCCACAGTGCACCCCCTCTGGAAGGGCACAGGCTCCGTGCCAGGGGGCTCCCGGCAGTCCCCCATCAACATCTGCTGCAGGGACAGTGTCTACGACCCCAGGCTACCGCCTCTTCGGGTCTCCTATAACGCTGCAGCCTGCCTCCACATCTGGAACACCGGCTACTTCTTCCAGGTGGAGTTTGACGATGCCACCAAGGGGTCAGGTGAGCCCGATTTGGGATTCGAGGCCTTTCTTTCCTTCTGTAACATCCTAAGAGTGGGGCTGTGGGCTTAGCACAGAAGGGAATGAGAGTTTTATCTAAGTACTCGACGCCTGGGGACAAGGAGCAACACCACAGAGGTGGGGACGGAGAGGTTTGTGAAGGCTGCCAGTGGGGACGGCAGTGGCGGTTACTTTAAAGATTACGAAAACGATCGTCTACAGTCACATGGTTTTGTTGGGGATGAAACTATGAACAAAGTTAATTCCCTTCCTTCGTGGCTTATATTCCAGGGGCTGGGAAGGAAGAAACACTAGGCTAATGAAAACACAACCGTACTGCACGTCGGAGGAGAACAACCCAGCAGGGCAGAGGACAGGGCCGTGGCGGCTGGGAGGCCCTCGTTGGCACAGAGACGAGGGAGGAAGCTGCGCCGCACCGGGGCGGGGTGCCGGCTGCTCCCCCGCAGGCTCTTACAGGGCGGGACGGGTCACCAGCAGACCCTGACCTGGCTGATGTTTTAAGTTTTGGGGCTTTTTTTATATACTTACTTATTTTTAGAGAGTGGAGAAGGGAAAGGCAGAAAGAGAGGGAAAGAAACATCCATGTGAGAGAGAAACATCTTTGATTAGTTGCCTCTCATACACACCAGAACCGGGGAATGAAACCCACAACTCAGGCATGTACCCTCACTGGGAATCAAACCAGTGACCCTTTGCTTTGCGGAATGATGCTCAACTGAGCCACAGAAACCAAGGCCACCTGGCTGAAGTTTTAAGTGAATGCCCAACTGCTATGAGGAAGAGGAGGGATGGAGGAAAGTGGTGGAACAGGGACCCCCTGGAGGCTGTCTGGGACGATGGTGGCGGAGGGCTGTGTGATAGGTGGGCAGGGAGGCAGGAGAGAGGCCCCAGAAGCCCCTGTCCCTGTACCGAGTCCTAGTGCCCTGAATGGGCTTTATATGAACCAGCTCATTAAACCCTCTCCAGGATGCTGAGGAGTTTGGGTTGGCTTCTCCTCTGATGCTTGTCAGGATTGGCTGCTGCACCCTAGCTGGTGTTTCTCAGCCCCCTTCAGTATCATCATAAGCCTTGCTATGTGGAACCTCTGCTTTCTTTTGGGCATGGAGGACGTTCGTACATGCCAGGCAGAGGGTGCCCACGTGACCGGCACCCAGTGAAAACCCCGGGCACCATGTCTCTCATAGGCATCCCTGGTGGACAGCACTTCATGCGCATTGTCACAACTCACCACTGGGGGGGTCAACGTGTCCCTGTGACCTCATCAGAGAGGGCACTGGAGGCTGGCGCCTGGTCTCCTCCAGGCATTGCCGCATGCGCCTTTCCCTTTGCAGATCTGGCTCGGACCCTCTCGCCATAATAGTCTGACTCGTGTGTCCGTCTGTGTGCTGAGTCCTGGCAGTCCTAGAGAATTGTGGATCCTGGGGGCCCTGACACCCCCCAGCCCCTGTCCTTTCTGGGCCAGCCCCTGGCCTACCTCCTTTGACATGCTAGTTCTAGTATATCGTTCACTAACTGTTGCCCAGGCAGGGAAGTGAACTCCATGAGGGCAGCCTGAACCGCGGGTGCTAGTCTTCTTGGAGTCCTGGCGGAGGGAACGGGTGTCGAGCGAGGCCCAGCCTCCCTCGTCTCACTTCTGATGGACGGGTGGCTGCAGCAGGGGACAGAGAGGCCTTGTTCCCCATGTGCACCCGGCAAGTGCTTCACACACAGCCTGGCTCAGCCTTTCCAGGTCGCTCTCCTCATCTCACAGGTGACAGGGAGTTCGTGTTTCCTGAGTAGCCACTTACATGCCTGGGGCTCACGGTCACTGGTCAGTCTTCACAGTAGCCCTCAGTGACACTTCTCAGGTGGGACTCCTTGAGCGCAAGGGACAAGAACCCCGACTCTGGCCAACATAAGCAAAGGATTTTCTTGAAAGGCTAAGCCAGGCTCAAAGGGGAGAAGGGAAAGTTGCACACCCAGATCTTGGAAAGCACAGGACTGGGCCAGCTCAGGGCTCTGGGCAGCAGGGGTTATGGATTTATTTACTTAGCACACCAACTTTGTTTTCTGCCCATGTTGGTCTGGTCCAAGTTCACATTCCCAAGGAGCAACTGAAACTGGCTTCACAGGTTTAATAGGGTTTGTATTCTTTTTAAACATTTTTATGCAGCAACTTTAGAAGATTGAATAAAGAATAATGGTCCCTGAACTTTTGCTTGGTTAATAATTGTGTGACTAGTCTAATAAGATTGAAAAAAACAGACTTGGATGTAGATGAGTTCACATCCTCCTATACAATTGTTATGTGTAGCTGTGGGTCTAATGGACACCTATATAACAGGTTTACATTTTTTAAGTTTTAAAATATAAAAACTTTAAAAAATATTTACTTTTATTTATTTATTTTTAGAGAGAGGGAGATGGAGGGAGAAAGAGAGGAAGAGAAACATCAACATGTAGTTGCCTCTTGAGTGCCCCCCACTGGGGACCTGGCCCGAAACCCAGGCATGTGCCCCGACTGGGAATTGATCCAACAACCCTTTGGTTCTCAGGCCAGCACTCAATCCACTGAGCGACACCAGCCAGGGCATAAAATATAAAAAACTTTCAAGGTTACTTGGACTTTTGTATGAGTATCACTAAGATACATTTGACAAAATAATCCACATTCCCAGCCAAAAAGGTCTGGTGGCTGAGCTTGGCATTCATACAGCCTCTGGTCAGTGGGGGGCCCAGCACCTTGACCCATGTCCCCACCAAGATTATATGCTCAGGGAAGTGGGGTCCTGGGGGAAATCGAGGTGCTATTTCTAGAGGAGGGAAGTTGTGCTGGCCAGACAAACACATACCCTTTTCAAAGAGCACCACCATCAATGAATAACAACACACGCAAAACAGACACCACTCTGGAGAGCACTGAGGGGCCCCCATTCTATGCAAGGAGAAATGGAGACTCAGAGGGGAGGTAACTCACTCAGGATTGAGTGGCAGAGAAGTGGAGAGGTCAGGTTCTAGCCTGAGTCCTGCTGATTCTAAAGCCCTCAAAGCCCTTCACTGGCACGTTCTCTTTGTCAAGGGCTTCACTTACACAAACTTAAGTATTCTTTGTAACAACCATGTGAAATACATATTATTTTCCATTTTACAGATGATAAAAGCAAGGCTCAGAGATTCGTGGCTGGAGGCCACAGAGCCCTCCCAGTGAGACTCTCTGCTCTCCAAAGAAGGAGGTTTGAGGAGCACGAATCCTCTGTGGAAGGAGTCTGCAACCGTAACCACAGGGTTCAGGCAGGAGCCGCCGTGAGGGAGGAAAGTGCTGGTGCACAGGGCGAATGTGGTCAAGTTCATGTTAGGTCCTGAGGAGAGTCAGCAGTCCGCTCAGGGTCCAAGTGGGCTGCTGGCTCAAGCCCAGCCAAGCCATGTCCAGTGTTCACCCAATAGGAGGGCCAGTGGGCAGTGAGGCCAGCCTGGGCACTGGGTGAGAATCTACCACGAGGACGCTACCCACACCCAGACCCTCCTGACAGTGGAGCAGGGGCATCTCCGTGATGCTCCAAGGGCCCAATTATTTATATTTTTATATTATATTTATTTGGGTGTCCTATAGCATGTGTGTCTTGGAATCTAGTTGTTTCTATGTCCCACGGGAGTTGAGAGTCAGAGTTTAACCTGGGAAACTAGACTATTACAGGTGACAATCCCCAGAATCGTAAGTCAAAGCCTCCTTTGGTGAAGAATTTCAACCTCTTAAGTTTTTACTCGGAGCTTGAATCATAGGAGTGGGCATGGCCAGTCCCAACACCCCTTTCTCTGGCTTCAGTGATTGGACCAGGGGTGGGCATGTGACTCCAGCCAGGCAATGACAGCCAAGAGCTTTTCTTGGAAATGTTAAAAGAAAATCTCTTTTCTGCCTGCCGTGTGCTGGGGCCAGCCTTGTGCAAGGCTGGGCCGCTGGTCCTGGCAGGACAAAGTGGTGGGTAAAAACTGAGGCCTGAGGCCACTGTCAGAGCCTCTTACTGCAGTCGTGCCTGAGGGCGAACTAGCTCCTGGACTAATGGACCTCTTTTTTGCCTCAGTCAGTTTGATTTAAATCTCAGTCACTTGTTTCCGAGCGTTCTAATAGAAGTACACAATAAAAGGTCTACTTTCCGACGACAGTAAGAGAGAAGAAGTAGAAGGGAGGCAGCTGGAGAACTGCCAGTTTCAATCTTTGCTCAAATGTAATTTAGATGGAAAAAAAAAGTAATTCAGCTATAGGCTGGGTCTGTGCCATCCAGGGTGGAGGGGAATGTGGGTAATGCTCTGTTGGACTTGACCCAGAGAGATTGGTGGTCTGAGTGTGGTGCATTAAGACTCTCACGACTGTCCCAGAAGCCAGGCCCACATAAGCTTGGCCCTTCTGAGTACATGGAGACCCGATACATGTTTAGCAACTGGCTTTCTGGGGTGTAGGGTGTGGGTGGAGGTGAGGGGACAAGAAGCCATGATGTGAGGGGTTTGCTGCTTCCCGTGGTGTAAATACTCCTGCACAGCCAGATGATTCCAACCTCCCAGTGCAAAGGAGTTGATCATGAGTTAGGAAGAGATGCACATGGTGAGTTTCCGGGAGCCAGTATGAGCCTGCCCCACACATCACTGTCCTGTACTTTCTTCCCTCCACTCCCTGCTGCCTCCAATCTTATTTTTGCTCTCATTTTTGCAAGATATTCACTGTAATTGATTAACACTTCCTTTGTGTTGCATGTGGCAGAAACTCAACTCAGACTGGCTTAAGCAAAGAAGAGGAAAGCTTAACTGGCTTTGATTCCCAAAAAGTTCAGGGTGTGGCTGGGTCTGAATCCCACCCCCCCCCACACCCCAGTTCTGCCTTCCCCTGGTGGGTTCTTTCCAGATGAGGATGCTGGAATGGAGCAAAGATGGTGGCCCACAGCCCCAGGTGGCAGCTTGGTAGACCCTCCCGACAGAGTGCCCTGAAGGGGTAGCACCTCCGTCCCAGCA